AATGGAGGTAACCTACCTCATAAATTGCTACCAAAGTAATACGGAGGAGGTGCCAATTGCATGTGTTGTTTAGTGTCTCTTGTGAGCTGTGCTTTGTCCTAAGAACTGTAGGAAGTAATGAAATAAACTCTCACCCCTGGCCTCATGGAATTTATGATCTAGATAGAGAAACAAGGCCAAGGAAGCAGCGAGGAGGCACATTGTGATCAAGTGCAGGTTGTTTATTGTAGATTTCTGAGGAGAGGTAGTGGAGAAGGGTGCAGAAGAAGTTGAAATTGAAGGATGAATGGGATTCAGTTAAATACAGAGTCATTCCAAAAACTCCACAAGGCCAAGACACACTTGAAATGTATGATGCTAACCTTTTGGGGGATTGGTCTGTAAAAGAACCAGATTTGGGAGTGACAGATGCTGGGTCGTGCTCCTATGCGTGCTCCTCCCTGGCCGACTTTAGGCAAGTCCCTTCACTGCTTTCTGTGCAAGTTCCACCACCCACCTCGTCAATCATCGTCATGGAAATCAATGTCTCCTGAGTAGCAGAGGCATTGTTTAAATTGGTTATCAGCAATCTTTTCATGAGTCAGATGATGAACGCACTGACAACCAGCCATCTCTGCCAGTGCCACCCAGTGCCCGTGGGACGACGCGTGTGCCTTCACCTCTGACATCACTTGTTTTTCACCAGCCACTGTGCTGCTGGCACAGTTGTGGGCCAGTTATTGGAGGTTATAAATGCTGTATAAACCAAAATGGAAGTAACTCAGCAGATTTAACCTCAGAGAACATTCTGCAGGACAGCGGAATTCAGGTCCCTCTTTATTTATCATTTCAGCTATAATTTATTGAGCCCTTGCTTTCATCCAGCAATGGAGATACAAAGACAAGACATGACCCCATCCATTAAAACTTAAAATTAAAAAAAGGTACTCAGGGGATGACAGACCTGTAAACTAGTAATTATACAGAGTGACCAGGGCCACAGCAGAAGGATTTATAAGCTTCAGAATCAGTATAGAGAAGGGAGGGCTTCACAGAAGAGGTAGCAAATAAATTGGTTTTAGCGGATGAATGGACATGTGCAAGGGTGGGAAGGGTCTTGCATGCGGTAGTAAGGAACAGAAGTCCTTGGGGACACTTAAGTAGGTAAAAATGGCGGCAGCTAAAATGTGAGGGTTGTGTTCACTTGTGCATGTGAATTCCGACTCCCTCAGAACAGCAAGGCATTGTTGAGATCCTGATTGCTTCATACAGTTTCCCGGCAAAACTCTTTCAAGGCCATCTCTTCAGGTACTGGGGAGGAAAAGAAAAAGATAATTGGGTAATAAAGATGTCTCAAGGCTAGTAACCTAATTGGAGCTGGGAAAAGATTAGCACTTGACTGTCAGACTTATTCACACGGCTGCCAAGGACAGCCTTGCCAAAACCAAGATAGCATCTCTGACTAGTTTTGACTGGTCAGCATTGGAAACCTATAGCGGGTTGGGTAAATTTAGTCTTGCACATAAATGGGGACGCTCACGCTCTATTCCACTGCTGTTGGCTTTAGTTGCATAGAACCCACAGTGTTTTGCAACAGGCTTGAAAGTGCCTCGTTATTCCCTGGTCTGTTTGAGCTCTGAAATACAGTTCTGTTCCTTGCGAAGATCCAAATGGATACCACCTTCCTCTCCCAGTCATAGAATTGGGTGGACCACATACCATACATCGTCATTCTCCTTCTCACCAAAAGCCAACATTTCCGTGAAATTGTTCCTGGTTGCTACCCATGTAATCTTGGGCAGGTTACTTAACCTCTCTGCGCCTGTTTCCTCATCAGTAAAATGCTTAACACGTACCTTATAGGACTTGTAGTGGTATCTGAGCTAATCTCTATAAAACACTTAGAACAGTGCCTGCCGCACAGTTAGTATTCAGCCAGGAGATGTTAGCTGCTGTGATCATTGCTGTGGTGGTTTAGGACTTGTAGTGGTATCTGAGCTAATCTCTATAAAACACTTAGAACAGTGCCTGCCGCACGGTTAGTATTCAGCCAGGAGATGTTAGCTGCTGTGATCATTGCTGTGGTGGTTGTTATTCTCCTATCCGCAAAATCTGTCTTCAGAGAAACCAAACTTTTGGAGGCCAGGACAGATAAACCGAAAGTGAATTCTGCAGTTTCCTGGGACTCTGAGCTTTCCTTTTGGTGAAGAGCAGCCCTGGTGTTTGTCCTTTCTCATTCCTTGCTGCTCAGCCGTCTCTCAGTAAGAGCCTCAGTGTGGGGGGGCCCTGCGAGAAGTACAGCAGGACCCCCATCTTCAGGCTGAGAAAGTCGGCTAATGTGAGCAGCAGTGTCCTGGGAGGGGATTCATGCTGGAGAATTGGACTTGTTTCTCAGCTTCATGGAAACAGTCATCAGTTGTACAGCCCCTCACTGAGTTTAGAGAGAGAGAGAAATGAGCAAAAAGCTCCCAGTTAGTGAGTTTACTGCCTGGGGTTTCCGGGGAGGCTGGGTAATTGCAGATAAATCTCCGACACAGAATGAAGAACAGCACATTTTATGTATTCCGCGCATATTATGCAGAATGAAATACTGGTAGGAGTGTTAGATTCAAGTGGTCAGGGTTTTTTTTTTTTTTTTGTCTTTTGTCTTTTTTCCGTGTCCGGCAACGGATCGCAACCCTCAGTGTTGCCCCCGTACCGGACCGGGGACCGGCAACGGGATTGCAACCCTCGGTGCTGCTCCCACGCCTCGCTCAGCCAGTGAGCGGGAACCGGTCTGTATGTGGGATCCGAACCCTCGGGCGGGAGCGCCGCCGCGCTTCCCAAGCAGCGCACTATCCAGTGCGCCACCGGGCCGGCTACAAATTCATTTTATGAGACCAACATAACCCTGATACCAAAGCCAGAAAAAGACACTACAAAATTAGACCATTA